AAAGCATCCGACAGCGTGAACAGGACGACATGATGGAAGCTACTTCGATACTACGGAGTGACTGAGAAGGCAGTCAAAACTATGCTGAATTCGTATAATGGACTACACTGCAAAACCGAGGATGGAAGATGAAATGAAGACCGGTGTGAGATGAGGTTGTTTACTATCACTAGTTCACTCCCTTCTACTGGTCGACTGGATTATTAAGATGTCTACATCTGGAGGGAAGGGATGATAGTAACAGATGGTTGGAGATCTTGAATAACATTGCTCAAAACCGTCTACAGTGGTGCAGGTACATCCACTCTTCGTGTTCCCCCAAAACATGATATGGATTCTTCAACACCTTTATCTTTCCTTTTTTAAGTTTATTTCACTAGATTTTACTTCTTGAATATTACCCTCACCGATTACTACTAATATTTTTACTACCTCTACTACTATGGGATTTGAACTGACAGTTGCTTCTTTGTGTAAATGTGGTATCGCAACTTGAATGTACGTTCGGATGAAGTTCTACGTTGTAACTGACTGAATAACTGACACAAACGCTACACAAAGCTTCGTGCGTTTCACCGAGTCACAATGCGGAGAATCGAAACGATAACATGTGTATCAATAAAATGTTCAGAAGGACTTTGGAAGACAAAAGTACCAAGAAAGGAGCCTTTATGACTACACTGCGAAATCGAGAATGGAAGACAACCGACGGACTCGTTCGAGGTGAAGACCGATGTGAGATGAGGTTGTTTACTATCACTAGTTCACTCCCTTCTACTGGTCGACTGGATTATTAAGATGTCTACATCTGAGGAGGAGGAGGATAGTTTTCAGCAGACAGCTCGGATTCATCTCGGTAATTTAGCCCTTATATACCACACACAACAAAAAATGCAGACGACCAGTGTAACAGTAGCGGAAGATCTAAGCACACATAAGGGGAAAAGCAAGTTTCTCCGATACAACACAACATGCACCAACCAAATCACACTTGGTGGACACGCATTGGAGGATGTAAAAGCCTTTACATATCTGAGCGCATCATTAATGAACAAGGTGAATTTGATGCATATGTGAAGGCGCAGATTGGAAAATCAAGAGAAGCCTTTCTACAACTGAACGACATCTAGAACTCAAACAAACTATCAACCAACAACAAAGTCAGAATTTTCAATACAATTGTCAAGATACTTCAACTGAATGAAGCAGAAACTTGGAAAACTACCAAAGCCATCATCCAGATGATACAAGTGTTCATTAAAAGTTGTCTACGCAAAATGCTTTGGGTCCGCTGGTCAGACACCATCAGCAACAACCCACTGTGAGAGAGAACAAACCAGATTGTTACTGATGGAGAATTCAGGAAGGTTTGATGGAAGTGGATAGGACACACACTGAGGAAAGCATTTAGCTGCGTCACGTGGCAAGCCCTCACTTGGAAGCCTCAAAGTCAAAGGAAGAGAGGAAGATCAAAAAACACATTAGGTTGATAAATGGTGTCAGGTATGAGAAGAATGAACAAAAATTGGACAGAACTGGAAAGTGAGACCAAGGACAGTGTAGTTTGGAGAATACTGATCAGCCGTCTATGTTACACTAGGGGTAACAGTCGTAAGTTAGTAAGTAGTTTATTTTAAGAAGATTATTCACAATGTATTTATGACAAAGACTTATCAGCTGTCTAATATAATAACATTTTGTGAACTTTTATTCGAGAGATTTCCTAAAGATGTAAAGAATCGTTTAGCAGTATCTGTCTACATGAATACAATACAATAATTAAAATCAAGCTGTCTGAATTTCATATCTGTATGAAAATTAACTTACGCAGTTACATTTTGAATGAACTAAATAATTGATTAGGAAAAGTTTATTTTTTTTATAAATGATACTTATATGAATGTAATTATATATCTAGTAGTTAAAGCTAGTGATGCCTAAGCATCACACAGTTCATTAGATGGATGTTAAGCATAGATTAGGGAACCTGGTACAAGTGTTTTGTCTAAGTTCTAATCACATCTTCATAGTTCCGCAAGAATACCAACTCAGTATATTTAGAGTGCATAACAATCAAAATAGCTGAAAATTATGGAGTCGAAAACCCATGGTCTATAGTTCTAACCTCGATTTCTTCACCACGCCTTATGACTACTATCCAATGTTATCATTGATAACGGTTTTACTTGTTACATAGTTATTTCCGCTGAGCAGTTTCGACCATTGGTAGTAGTCTGCGATGAAAAGTATGTTTGAATAAATCTCTCTAAACTATTCGTCTAAATGAACAACAGCAATGTGGGATCATTAAAGAATAACTGAACTCTAATCTTGTTAATAGCACAGTAATGATAGTTTTAACTATGTTGTTTAAATCAAATATCTACAGATCGAAATTGGAGAAAATGAAATCAATAACATTAACAAACTAACATGGCCAAAAATCAATATTCTGTGTTGTAACAGCGAAAAGCAATAAAATGTCAAACTAAGTCAAGTAAAACTTTGCAGAAAATCAAACTACTGATAGTATTAGTCGTAAAGGCAATCAATCAATTAAACCAATCAATAGCAACATAAAACTACGTACGTACGTACGTACGTACATCAGTTCATGTCGCCATACCACATTAGCAGAAGAGATGTAATTGTCAATTTAAATCCCAATAGTAGTAGAGGTAGTAAATGCATTAGCAATAATCGGAAAGATTAGGGTTGGAAGATATAATTCAAATAGTAGTAGAATCTATCTAGTGAAATAGGCTGAAAAAGAAAAAGATGGAGGTGATGATGAATTCAGAAGATAAGGATTTGAGAGAACACAGAGAATGAATGCACCTGCGCCATTGCGAACGGTTTTAAGCCATGTCATTCAAGGTATCTAACCGTCGGTTACTATCTTCTCGCGGACCCCAACCAGGTATTCAACACCTTCCAACATGACTTAGTCGATTTTTCAGTGACTTCATGGATTTGTGCCATGTTTTGGTTTGGCCGCCCCCCCCCCTAGCTTTCTTCCAGCCTATTCCTAGACCACAAAATATAACTCGACGAGGCAGTCGGTGGTTAGGCATAAGCAGCACATGTCCCAACCACCTCAGTAAAAGCAACACATACATTCTGTCATTGAATACAAAACTTTAGTAAAAAATAAAAGCGAGAACTCAATGAGTCTGGTTCATCAGATAACTTCGACATTAAACAGCAAACGATATTTCATATCATGAAAAGTTTATACTATTTTAATAAATTACTGCTGTTGAGTGAAAATTTTATTTAACATTCCATTTTCGCATATTTCTTATAGTAATTACTTCCAGTTGTACGATGTGAACGCATTAGTATATTCGCCTTAAATATTGACATATTCTTTTCAGTTACTGATATCAACAAATTCCATGTCTGTTGATCAGAAAGCCTATCAATATTTTAAGTATTCAAGCAAACGTTTTTTATTTAAATGGCATTCAGATATTTATATTCGGCATATAATTAAAGCATACAAGCAAGTTTAGATTGAACACTGAATGATGATACGTTCAGTATTTTTATTTTACTTTATATTTTACTCGACACTAGAATATACCTAAAGTATACTAACATTCAAGGATAGATTCATACTTACTTATTTTATTTACACGTTTGTTATATATGGCGCTCTATGAAAAGTAAAATCTGCCTTCTACTAAAAAAAAAGTAACATGAAATGGTTTAGTTGACTATATTCTAATTTATTTAGGCACAATAAAATGATTATTCGTTTTATTTAGTCTTTTAAAACCATGTCAACTTTTGGATGGAGTGAAATGAAATGTATAGGTTCTATTTTTCATAAAGTCAATTTTCAGTCTAAATAAGTACAAGGTATCTACAAAGAACTTAATACACTGACAGAACGTTCCAGTTGAGCTGTCTTACACAGAAAGATGATGTGAACTCAGCATATCGATACTTAAAAATGGGAATTCGAAGATCATCATGCGTATAGTCTGTGTGTTTTAGGTAGACGGTCCTTTTATTCAAAGTATCAACATTATGTGACTTCAAAATGAGTCTGTTGTCGTAAAACAAGATTACTCAATTAAACTAATGTAGCATTTTAAAGAATAGTTGAAACATCGATTTACTTATGAACGGAATTCATTGAATATACACTGTTTAGAACATAAATCCTATTAGAGAGTCGATGAATAACTGGAATAAGATAATTCAATTAACCTGGAAGAGTTCCTTGTTTATGAGGACTTTGTAAGACTCATTTCATACTTTTCAGTTGAACAGTACTCACTCAAACCAATATTTAACATATATTTCCTGTTACTGAACAGTTTATAGTTCTTAATATTCATGAGAGCTGTTGTGTGCACTCACTTACAACAAAGAACTTTCTAAAATTAAATACATTCCTCCATGTACTTCAGAAGCTATTTGTTGAATATGTCTATTCATGTGAAAATGTTAACTAAACTGTAGAAATTGGATAATACATGATTAGACAAGGAGTATTTTTCTATATTTTTAATTGATCGCTCAGTATAGACAAGCACCAACTAGGTGTTCATGAAGTTTTTCACCAAACAACTTCTTATAATCTAAGATAGACAATAAAGAACTATTTCACATCATACGATTTAGTGGTTATTTTGGATACTTTGACATTATTATAGACTTGTTGAAATTAATCGAAACTGATTTATGCAACTACAAAATAATATCAATGAAAATCGTTGGACAACTTCCTAACTTCTTAATTCTAGTTTGATGCTTTTCAACAATGAATGGCCTTGATTCTATTCAATGCCTTTATTACATAAACAGAGTAGTACTTAACCATAGTGTGTGGAACAATAATTCAAGATAAAGCATCATGCAAGAACTTATGATTGGAAAAATGAACTTTTCATTAAATTGGTCAAATCATAAACAATACGCACACACACACACACACACATGTGAAATTAATAAGAAATAGATGTAGCGAAAAAAAGGAAACAACTTACTTATCAGTCATCCAATCATTAAGTGCTTGTGTATTTTGTAAATAGTTATCCCTGGAAATTGCTGTACTTACTAAATCATTCAATGACACTTTTAAATGTTCATCTAATTGTGTAATTAGATTCAATCGAAATTGTTCAGCTAAATCGCACCAAACAACATCATGTACAAACCCATGCTTATCATTATCTGAATTAATTGTTTTATTTTGTTCCGTATTTGTAGATTCTTTCGATGATAAAGTTAAATTTTTTGACGATTGTATTAATTCAGTTTTCATATGTTTATCATCATGACGTCGACGAATATTCATTTCATCAACTAAAGATTCTTTCATTTCCTTTTAATTTGAAGAAATGTTCACTTATATTCTCAATAATTAAATGAATATTGAAATTTCTTTTTTAAATGATTAATAATTTATATTGACTGCATAAAATAATACGCCTTTCTGTGATTATTCTTCAGTAATTATTTTATTTTATTTTATTTTATTATTTTTTTGTGTTTTTAAAGTGAAATATGAAAGATGTAAACAGTAAACAAATAATAGTGTATGTCTAGTGATTTATTTAATTTATGTACATATATATATATATGTATATGTATATATATGTGTATATATGATATATATGTATATGATTGTATGTATCAACTGAACTTTACTCTGCCCATTGGTAATATATACATGTATTGTATTAAAAATCTATACATACACTTTATAACAACCATTATCACTTACTATGTTAATGATAATGACATTGGAAAATTTGATTGGTCATCATTATTAATTCACCTAATTAATGACGTATAAAATTCAGTTAATTTTTCATCTTAGTTTACATTAAAAAAAAAAAATTTATATGATTGTTATACTGGTCGATAGGTTTGCTGTAGGCGCATTTAATTTGTAATTTTCACATCATGAAATGATAACATTTGGAACACCACTTGAAATTAGATAGTACAGGATATTGGTTTGTGATTCGTAAGCAACACTTATTTACCCACAATTACCTCAATGACTAAATCCAAGAGTATCAGGTTACGCGGCCAGCACTTAACCGATAGACTACTGCTGAATTGGAATCCATTAAATCAAACATGTGACCTCAATAAGTTCATGACAAAACTTAATGATCATCCATTGGGTAAACGTCTAGACTGCATTAGCCACAACTCTTGATTCAAATAAATAAATGTTTACAAACTCCTCGAACAGAAAGTTCTATATTGTTTTTTTTCTTACCATCCCTTGAAACATTTTCTGTTGACAGCATTAAGTTCTATCACTTGTATGATATAGAACAGAACACAACTATTTTATTTATAAGCTGAATATATAATATAGTTACCAGTAAAGCGCAGTGCATACTAGAAATATCTTTTATATGTCACAGAAGAAAAAACATTCCAATCTCTTAAGTTGGAATAATTGTCAAGTTTTAAACTTACACAAAGTGACCAACGCAACTTTTTTGGAATGTGTGTGTGTGAACAAAACAAAATCCAAGTCCAAGGTTACGCAAACTTCTTTTGCATACAAGGTTACTGCTTAAACAATGGATTTCAATTATCTTCACAGGTACATCATACTTTCTCAATGTTTGGAGAAGCTAATATAAAATACTATTAAACATTCTGAATTCATTAATAAACCAGAAAATAACAAATGGCCACGAAGTGAACAATGAAATGCCATATTTTCTAGTCTATACAATCAATATACAATCTGTGTTCGAAAACCAAACAATAACATAATAGAATTGATTCATATTAAGTACAAATAATCGATAATCCATACTGAAAGTAACCGTGGTCTACGTGGTCTGCAGATCATGTTTGGATTCATGAATTCTCATGTGGAATGGGATTTGAGAGATGCTGGATTAGATAAATGTAAATCGATAGTCTTTTGCAGAGAAAAACAAACCATTCTCTTAGTAAATATTCATTGTCGTTCTTATCACTTGATAGTATGACTAAATCATTCGATAATATAAGGACAATCTCAAAACAGTCGCAACGAAATCTAGCTATTCAGAAAACAGATTATATGAAAGAATAATTTGTGAGAAATAAACAATCGTATCATGGAGTTTGAAATGACTTTACATAATATATCCATTGTTGCCATCTACATATTATTTTGTTGGTAAATCGGCAGAATAAAGGCAAAGTCTCTTTGAAAATCTCCATCATTTTAAAACACAAATATAAGCACGAAAAACATTCTTTTCAAAAAAAATTATCCCCAGGTTCGACAGTTATGTGTTCAAATTGATAACCTGAAAATTAGCTAGGTTTAAGAGGACTATATTGTTTGAAATTGTAGCTTGTGAATTTAGAATTGCTAGAGGAATAAAATAACGCGCTGTATATGTTTCAATGACAAATAAGCAATGTGAACTTGAATAAGCTCATTATGTCAAGTGAAATTGTATGATTAATTTTTAAGATAAATATGAGTAACATAAACTGACAGACAGAAACACGAATGCAATAACAAATTAGATCAATTGTTTAGTAGACGACTATTTTATGAATTCAATAATAAATAAGTGGAGTGAGTGCTAATCACACCACTTATATGTTCGGGAGATTAATGGTGATGTTAAACTAATAGTAATGATGTAAACGTTTAAGTATAAAAGCAGTACACCAGTACCACCGTATACCATCTTAGTGGTCTAGAGGCTGAGCATTCACACGTGAGATAGAAGGTCCCGGGTTCGGTTCCCACACGCCGGTTTGTGGACGAGCACTGTTGATTAGTCCTGTACTAGGACGGAACGGTCGTCTAGTTCTTTCACGTTTTCAGTGGTGGTCCAGCTAAAATCAGCTAGTGATTGAAACTATAAAAATGCAATAATATTTGATTAATAAAAGCATCAGTCAATTTATCTCATTCTATCAGTTGAGATTAATATTATTGATTTATTAACCCTGAGGTTAATTAACGTAGTGGAATAGGTTGAAAATATTCATTTTTTTCACACACAGTTCTGGTTTTTTAAACAGAATGGCTTCTGCCGCTTCGAAGACTTTACGTCGGATTGAATTTATCAGGAAATGACTAGCCTGATAAACTATTGAGAATGGTTGATCGATGCTGATACTATGATCAGTTTGCACCAAACAGGCTATAATTTTAAACGATACATGGACCTTAAACCTAGCTACTTTTCGGAGTGTTAATTTCGATATATTACAGTAGAACGTGAAGTTAATTCACCGAAAGAATGTTCTTCATTCATATATTAATTTTTTTCATCAATTTCTCCACACAAATATAAATGAAACGACCAAAACAAATTTCTAGGAGTCTGTATATCGTTGATAAAATAGGGTTACAGATTGAGGATTAGGTTATAGGTCATGGTTAGAGCTTTAGGGTTATTATTTAGGGACATATAATTTTAAGCCTTATATGCAATCTATTTGTAAAGTATCGAGCATCGGTGACAAAAAATACCTTACCGTTATCATTTAAAATTATTCTGAGAGTCATACGGCAATAATTTTGTCACCAGTACAAATTTAAAACAAAAACCGAGAAGTCTTTTCCACTGTTCTGATTGACTAATTCTTATACAATAGTTTAATTTCTCATACTACTTAATGATTGCTGGCTACAGTGTTTTGACTGCGATATTTAGGATACAACGAACGAAACGTATAAACAGCGAGCGACACATTAATAGCTAAGCTAATCAATTTCTCCGCTCCCTGACCCAGCTAATTAGAGGAAAAAGTCCAGAGTCAGCAGTAAGAATACATAATCCACAAACAGCCCAGAACGAATAACGAGCACTCGATCCAAGCGTTATGTATACAATATAAAAAAATCTTTGGAAAAGTCACAAAAGAGGGCACTGAAGAAGAAAATGAGTGAATGACTTTTAAGGTCCTTCCAGGTGTGATAAGGAGAGTTTTCGGTGTGAAAGCAAGAAATTCCGATTTCCACAATTAAATTACAAAATTAGGGAGTTTACCAAGAAATTTCTGAAGATCTAGCATCCCTAACATGTACCTAGTTGGGTGATAGATGCGATGAAATATCATAAAATTTATTATTTTCATTCGCGCATTATTCACTATTTCTTGACCTATTTAAAAACGTCGGTTATCAAACAACAACAAATTCATAGACAACACTAATCTTATATCAGTCTTGCTTCGCAACGAATTTATCATTGTTAGGAAAGATCGATAAGTATATTTTTATAGGCATAAACCTACCAGGTTTATAAAACCATTAATTATATTAAACATATCTTAATAATTAATCTAACATTACAGTTGACAGAAACTTAAAATCACTGTTTAACACTGGAAAATAGGAGTCTGAAAAAGTACGTACAATCTCAAAGGATCAACTGCAAATTTACTAATTATTGGAACTGAGCATAAGAAATATTCTAGTCATACAACTGATTTTGTATTCTCACTGTCAAGGATGCCAGAAGGAGGAACCGTCTTTTAGTTGGACAACCAACAAATATGACTTTGAATTTTGACTTTCTTTTATGAACATCGAAACTTAGGTAGAGTAGATCAGTTTAAATTTCCTAGTTGAGAATAACCCCTGAATGTATTCCGTTAACTATTTTTATTTCAGACATATATATATATATATATATATATATATATATATATATATATATGCCTTCAACAAACTGGTCATAGGAGGCACAATATTCCTAAATATACGCACACACAAATCTACGTGGCTTTCACCGGATCATACTACTCAGAACCAAATTGACCTTGCTTGTATCAATAAAAAGTTCAGTAGGAACGTAGAGACGGTGAAAACCAAGAGAGGAGCTGATATAGCTACAGATGAAACTGGAACTCAAGAAGCATTGGACAACGGAAAGGATATTACAAAAGTTTAATTCGGCCTTTCTACGGGATACTGACAAACTCAACGAATTCAGGATAGTCCTCAGCAATTAGTTCCAGATCTTTCATGAACTACTCAATGAAGATGAAACCACCATGGAGAACAATTGAAAAGGGATCACGGAGGCGATCATTTCAACATTTTAGGAAGTCCTAGGCCATAAGAAGTACCATCACAAGAAATGAACCTCTGTTGTTACTCTTGAATAAATTGAAGAAAGGAGGAATAAGAAGGCAGCAATCAACATCACAGAAAGTCACGGCACAAGCTGGATACACAGAAGCAGGAGTATCAGAGCTGACAAACGTAAATATGTGCAAGATGTAACAATGACGGAGGAAAAGGCTGCGATAGAAGGGAATATGAGACAGTTGTATAATGCACAAAAGAAGCTCGGTGGAAACTATAGTAAACGAGAACAACCAGTG